GACTCCGTCCAGTTACAAGACAATCACATTTCCACACACTACGAAGAACATTTCCCACGGGCAAGGAGCTGCAGAAGACCAGAGTACAAGTACGAGAGCACATTTGCTTTTTCCTCTATTAAAAGTTCCAGGAGTCCCCTGATATTTACCTGCCAGAGTAAACAGCAGAAGGGAAACAGCCACTGTCGGTCATCCCATATCATCAACTTTCAGTTTTGGAGCTAAAATTCTTTAATCAAAACTTACTGATAAACTTTTCTGTCTAGTCACTTACAGGTAAATCCTGAAACTTACGCATAAGCTTGACAACTCGGACCTGGATTACATGCTGCTCATCCCACCACACAGTGACTCTGCACTCTAACAAAAGCAACCAGAGCCTTAGCTAAGCCCACGATAAGCTGAAAGCACAGCTGAACACCCCACACGGCACCTGACCTTCCAACTCCCCTGGGACATGGCAAGAAACTAGACTTTCCTACAGCTGAAACAAACAGCTCTGTCCCGCAGTCACAGGAAACGAGTGCGCAGCTCTGTCCTGTCACACGGCTACCAAACCTACATGGAAGTCCCAAGTTATTCTTAGTAACTCTCCGGTTTCACAGAGCAACACCACAATCTCAGCAGGGCAAACACCGAAGAGCCTTTTCCAATGTGTTGATTCTCCCTCTTCCCTGTCCTTTCAGGCTCCAATTTCACGGTTCCTCAACCTAGCCTGTTTCCTCAACACACTGGCTTAGGGCTCATCCCTGGGCACTATTTCTTCAGCTCAGTTATGGGACAGTGCGTTTGCATTCCCAAATTGCTATGAGAAAGAATGAAGGTCACAATGTTAACGTAACTGGACTGAGGAGCTACACAGGGCCTGTCAAACATCCCAAGCGACACAGAAAGCTGTTACATCCCCTCGCAACTGAACAAATTGGGGGGAGAGGCGGGGGAATCTCTGCAGACCACAGCTCAGCCTAGGTCTCCCTCAAAGAGGAAACAGCCCTCCAAATAGACAAGACTGCCCTTTGCAAACAGACTGAGGGGAGTCCAGGCTGACGTCTTCTCTCGAGTCTCCATAACGTCTCAACGTCACGATCGGGAGTTACCGAGTTCTATCCAGTAGCAACTAAATCCACTGGGAACGTATCAGTCCCTTAAAGCGTGAGAACAGCCAGCAGAGCCAGTGGCATTTATAACAAGTTCACAGATTTTCAAAGTCAAATGTGGGACCCCCACTGACCTTAGAAATTGTCACGTGCTTTGGCCAATCACCTTTGAAGCTTTAGATAAGACCATGCGTCTCTCAGCCACCGTGTATCGGTTTACATTTTAGGTTATAAACGAATGGCCAAGGGTGAAAGTGTTCACTAGTCCCATGATACGCTACAGACTCTGTCCTGTTCCCCACAGTTTCATGCGCTAGGGCTGTTTCTGTACAGGGGCAGGTCCCGACATTTGGTTTGTGTGACAGGAACTAGACAAACATACTGCAATTCTACAGCAAGGATCCGACATTCAGACTCACCCTCTGTGCTGTCTGAGCAGGAGGTAACCCCGCTGCCCGCCACACTGGAACAGTCACCAAAGCGACTCTGGAACCTCACAGACAGCGTTGGGGTTTTCCAGTCGGTCTCCAAAGAACAACGCGTTTGGCCTGCACCGGAGTCTGGAAAAGAGCCACACATGGGTACATCCGTCCTTCAGAGCACTGCCCATCAATGTTACAGAGAGCACTCCCCAAAGATCAACCTGGAGAACCTACGCCAAGCGAACAGCCCCAGCCTTTCCCACCTGCTCAGAGATATTAGCCAGCAAAGGAAGGAGACGGAAAGGCAAGAAAGGACTTCGCACTGTTTGCAGCTCATTTAAAAGAAATAACCTTTCAGATTTACCTATAGGAAACCGTGAATGGTACAGACTTATTAACCCATCCTTGCCCTGCTGGGGTGAAAGGAAGGATTGGAAATGCATTTTATCTAGATCAACAGCCAATTTAATTTTTCAAGTGGGATTTGAAGTTCAGGTTACAAACACATTTTTCCAGTTTGATTCAAACTCATTTTAAAAACATGATTCTCTGCAGAATGATTAGCAAGCCAATTGTCGAGACTCAGCACTAAGCTGTAGTCACACATTCCCATACTATGTGGGTAGGAATTGTTTTGCTGGATTCCTCTGAGCTACTGCTGCTCGAGAGAGCTCTTTCCTCATGGGTCTGTTCTAGCAGCAGGCCAGGGCTATGGAAGATAAGAGTGCAATGCACATTTCTCTGCTATCTCTAAGTGAGAGGGACACTGAAGAAGTGACAGTGTTTGCACGCAGAAGTACAGAGATAACAATGAAGATAGTAAAGATGCATTGGAATGTTATCCTGGATTTCAAGTGAAGTTGGCATATGATCCGCCCCGGACACTCATGCAATTGTTCTGCGGGCACAGGATATTAACAGCAAACATACAAACGTTTTAAGATTTTAGTTTTCATTAAAACCTTTTGGTAAATAGGAAACCCAGGAAGTGGCTTAAGGACTCTCCTAGCGGGATAGAGCAGGAACAGGACTTTTACGGAAAACAATTCATAAGTCAAACCTGTTGGGCTGGTCTGCTGGAACCTCAAGTCTGGGCATTTCTCAAGAGTAGCCATCACAGCTGTTCCAGTCAACTATAAGAAACAGAACCATCATGTAAATCAGCACACACCAATCCACTTTCGCCAGCAGCCAAGCAAAAGGCACTGACAAATATTTTTGCAACTCTTCATGAAAGGAAAGTTTACTCTTTAATCCACATTCCATTAGCATCTCTCATCCACACTTTTCCATTACAGAGCAGCAGTTAACACTTCAAGAAGTGCAGTAATTCTGGATTATCCTCACTTCTCACTCTGAAAGTGGGATGGCTTCTCCCACGCTTCAGGTGCCCATGATCAAACCTAGCTACAGGAGATGCCATCTCAGTTACTTATAGGCTAGCATGGGGGCCGATGCCCAAGTGTTAGTGTTTATCTGTAACGATTCAAAAGTTTCTGTTACAAACCCGAGCGCTTGGCCGGTTCATTTTTGCCCTCTGAAGATTTATTCAGCCACACCCAAGCATCCAGAAGATGCCCAAGTGTTAGTGTTTATCTGTAACGATTCAAAAGTTTCTGTTACAAACCCGAGCGCTTGGCCGGTTCATTTTTGCCCTCTGAAGATTTATTCAGCCACACCCAAGCATCCAGACAGTCAGAAGTTATTTTACACCCCCAGCCAGGCCCGTGGGGCTACCCGGAGCTTTGGCTGACTTGACCGTATATAAAA